TATTAATTCAATCTGAGTTTAGCATCAAAACAATATTTACTTATTTACAGTACTCACTTCAAACTTCACTGGCATGCTTTCGAGCCATTAGGTAATACTATCTTCTCTGTCAGAACAAAATTGAGGCAACTGTTCAGTGTGAAATCCCATGTTTCTACATCCCTGTTAAGTACCATATACAATGCATTGACAATTTTCTCACATTTGACCTAACTGAACTGAAAGAACAAAACTAAGTTACAGTTAGTCTAACTATGCAGTCACTGAGCTAATAGGTCAGGACTGTGCTCCACATTATCATCTGAAGTTCTTACCTACTACAAACTGCCTTTAAAATGTGCATGGCATTGAATTATGTACATAATCCTCATTGTAAATTTCTTAAGATACAAATGGTAAGTATGCAAGATACTTCTATGTGGAAAGTTCAGTGTTCCCAATACTATAGGTGTTGAGGGGTTGTGAGGGGGTTTTTGGTGGTTTTCTTCATTTAATGAGCAAGACATCAGTAGGTTCACTCCAAGTACTTTCCCTCCCCCCCCCACCCGAAACACTTTTCAATTAGAATAGTGACAATGTCAAAGATACATCAGAAACAGTAATCTGTATGAATCATCAGCAGTCTGTCAATTAACCCTTGACTGATAAAGTCCACATGCACAAAACAATTCAGAGGGTAGGCTGGCCCACTGCTGGGTGTTCTGCCAAATACACTTCCATCTTGACATCATAGTTTTTGTAGTTACAGGTCATGTTTTTATAAAAAGTATCCTAGACTATTTTAAAAAACCCAAAGAGAAAAATCAATATTGTCTGCAGATTACTGCAAATTCTCCCCAACTCTTCACTCAGTGGACAGGATGAAAAACTAGCAGTCATTGTAAGTTACTTTTGTTATACTCCAGGTCCACAAAACTTGCTTTTATTTCCTAAGACATCTGCTATTTCTTCAAAGGTATATTTAATGATTTAAAATTCATCTCCACAATAGGTTTGGTGCTTAAAAGCCTAGAGAACTTTTGTAAATGAAAAAAATAGCTAAACAGTAATGAACAAGCATAACACTACACATGCAAGCTCTGCTTCAAGAGGCACCAAGGACATCCTTACTGTTGCAGAAGACCTGTACTGGTATCTGAGTTCAACCCTTCCCTCTTTCCCATCAATACGCTTTTTGGCACTACATGAGACAGCCACACAGAAAAGATTATAGGAACCTGTGCTTTTGTCCCCATCGAACTGTTCAATACTTCTAAATAATCTTGTTTAACAGGCTTGCATCAAAAAATAATATTTTTTTCCCAAATCATTTAACTGACTCTTGTTTCTTAAACAGATAACTACCATGGGTGTTTGGGGGGTTTGTTTGATTTTTTTTTTTAACACACATTTTCTCTTAGTACCCAGTTAAGAAGTAATTTCTTTAAAACTTTACTGGAATGTTTTCTTCTACAGTAAATGGGGTGGGGGGAGGTGGAGTGGGGAGAAGAAATCAGGGAAAAATAAAAAGTGGCATTCCCTATTCCCATTACTGTAGCATTATACTACACACAGCATGCACTTGGCCTTATCCAAGAAAATGCCTGAATTAAAACTGTAACCCTCACTGAAGTCAGGAGTATTTAGTGATTTCCTTAAAGTTAAGCACATAATTTGACTTATCACAAAGAGCATACATATAGGATTCAATTCTTGCTAGTCCTGGACATCCAAATACTTCAAGCCTATTTACATTTCTGTACCAACACTGTGTAAGTGTTATCTTGTTCGCCAGAGGACATAAAAATAACCAGCAAATACGGAAGCTTTCCACATCATCATTCAAGAACCATTGGAAGAACCTTGCTTAAAGATCCTTCCATAAAACTTTAGTCAGTGAAATCAGAATTTGCTAAAAACCACATCTATGAAAATCTAATTTGAGTATGCAGGTGTAATGTCATAAAAAACTCTAGTTAAAGGGATCTTCCAGAAAGGAGAAACCAACGACAAAAAGTTTAGGAAAGATATTATAAGAATTTGTGTCATAAGGTCCAACAGAAAAGAAAAAAAAGAGGGGGGAAGGCTTATCCATCTATCTAGATTTGCTACACTACCGAAAAAATATTAGCCTCCTCTGCTTTTGTATAACCAGAGTTCAGTTAAGATTTTTCTGCTTTGTTAGTTTGTGCACTTTCTACTAATGTTAGACACTTGCACTTGCTGACATAACGCACTAATTTATTCATTACTCTGAATTCAGATTGTGTGCATGCTCCAGAAACCACAGAAGAAGATGACTTTAAAACAAGTGCAGCAAGTTAAAAGACAGTAAAAAGACTGGTGCATGAACATACGGGAGAAGGACAACCTTGAACACACTTACCATTAAAACCAACGCCCAACGATGCTCTACTGGCTTTACTTAAAAATGTTTGTCAGCAGCAGAGAAGCAGCAAAACTCTTTAAAAAGGAAGTATGGAATTTTAAGCCTGTCAGTTACTTGCAACTGTTTTCCACCTAATTAACAATAAAGTCACAATATCAACTTCACAGACTGATCTGACAAAGTTTTAACCCACCTCAGTGCTTGCAAAAACCACCTCTGTATATTACTTGTCTTAGACTCAGAAGTTTAGGGAAACCACACAGAAAAACAAGTTTCCTTTAAAATAAACACTGATAGGCAATGCTGATTTAAAACATGGATTTACTTAACAGAATTTGAAAATCAAATTAGAACAGAGAGAGAAGCCTTATTTTTCAAAATATATCAGCTTCACTGAAAAAAAAAAATTATTGAAATGATAGCTTTACTTCATGTAAACATTGTTACACTGTGCTGGACTTCAAAATTCTCAGGCATGTCCAAGTTGCAAAATAATTTTTCAGTTTAGACACAGCTATGTCAGTTAGCACTTACATGGTTCTTTTCAGAATCAACAGCTTTGCAGGTTTAGTTGCATTCCTCTCCATATCTTATAATTCAAAATACAGTCCTGCATATCCTGAGAACAGAAGTTTCGTAGACTTTTAAAAAAATAGCATTTATAACTGTGTGTGCATTGCAACTGCAAATATAAACAATTAACAATTAGAGTTCTCTGATTATAAAGTCCCAAGAGGAATGTTCAAATTGCCTTTCTGAAATAAGAATAACAAATGCAAAGTCTTTAAATATTTCAAAATATTTTCTCCTTTTTTCCTTAAGTGTAGGCATACTCCCCCAATGGATGGGAAGAGCCAGACTACAACAGATTGAACAATATAGTAGTAAACCTGCAATTTTGCTAAAAATTTGGAATGTTACGAATATACAAGTCTGCAGAATAGTACAATGTATGTGTGCTAAATACAGCTGGCAGTGATACTCTAAGACACACAATTCCTCTGTGGAATAGGAGTTAAATTCAGTTACAAAAGTAATATACTAGGAAGACTGGAAGATACTGAAGTTACTACAATCCAGGTTTATAACAGGAACACAATACAGCAATGACTAGCCCACAGTAGGTTACAAGCCTCCCAACACAAAACTGTCTTGCAAAATTTCAAAGGGATTCTTTCCCATGCAAACCTAAGTACTTTGGGGCCATGAAGTCAGCATGTACCAAGCTGGAAATGCCTCCTGCAGCTTTTCAAGGCTGACGCTACTTTTTGCACACATCCTGAAGTTACCACAACCAATTTAAAAGGTCTGCACCTTTTACCTATCAGTTTTCACTTACAAACCACCGTGGAAGAGATCGCTGTGGGATCCTTGCTTATGCACTATTTACACAGTGTTGGTCTGAGGTTTTTTGGGGTGTTTTGTTGTGATTACTTTTGTTCCAAACAACCAAAACTCAACCACTTATGGTACTTTTATCTTTCAGTGTAGCAAATGAGCAACTTAATCGAAGAACTTGTCTCTTTTCATACTTGTTAGAACATATACTGTGTTTATATATATATAAACAAATATACTGTGTATATATACTCACCCTATTGTTGACACCAGAGTGCCAAAACAGACATCAATATGAGCACTATTTCCAGTATCACTATTACTACTTTTCCTGAAAGAGTTATTACATGCATTTTCCCCACCCATTTATGGGACAGCAAAATATATGAAGATACCTGTTCTGATTTTCCACTGTTCATGAACTGCTCCTAAAACACATGCACAGGTTTGCGTATAAAGCAATTAAAACCACACAAAAGTTATTTTGTGGCTTTAAACTCACTAAAGCTAAATTAACTTTACGTTCAGTGGATGTAGCATTTACTTTAATTCATTTATTTAAGCACAAAAGGGAAAACTTCCAAGTGCTAGAACAACTAGATAGACAACTCATAGACCAGACTGAATAAGCTCTCATAAAAACAAAACAAAACAAAAAAAAACACCACAAAACCAAACGAACCATCATCACTGCAAAATCACAAGGCAGACTTTCATTTTTGGCAACCTATACACAGACCATTTATACTGTCAATTATACTTTAAGACTTGTTTAACAGTTAAGAGACCCTTTTAGCAAGGAACTATACTGCTTTCTTCATTATGACACAGTACTCCTCAGTCTTTTAAGTATACACAGAGGTTGTTTCAAAAATTGCATTTATGGCTGTTTTGAAATAAGGTATTAATAACATTCTGATTTTCTAGTCAGTATACGTAAAGGTTGGCAGGTCAGGTAACAGAGATTTGGATCTGTAAAGGTGTGTTATATTCAGTACAAGCACATATTTGAGGTTAGTCACATAAACACTCACACAGAACACTACTAAGAGTAAGAGCATTCTGGTTTATGTTCATGGTTCACTGACAGCCTTTAACGATCCCTGAATTGTTTTCTGCTTTAGCAACAAGAAAACAAAAATCCCTGTGAAGTATGGGAATGCCATTTTATGGCTAAGAATCTAAGAAACAAGACAAGGAGATCAGAGTGAAAAAAATTACCTCTCTCCCTAGCCAGCCTTGTAGGATCCTAGTTATAACTCTTCATAAAAATCTGAACTGACCCACACACTCTTCAGCCAATCAACCTTTTCAGTATAGTAGGTTTTGAAAAGGGCCAGCAATACTCATTGGGAACAGTACCATTAACATTGCATTCAAAAAAAGAAAACATGGGAAACCAAATTCTTGCTCTCCTACTCTGCTGATATGCTCTAGTATTAGCCAATGTATGGTAATACAAAAAGAGTCTTGTAGTGATGTAAAAGGCAATAAAGACATCTATAGAATAATGTTCATGTGCAGCCAAAATGAAGAAGATTCCAAAGAGATTCAGGACCCAGGACAAGGTGTGCAAGAAGTTCCAGCTCCTTGGCGTATCTAGGAGAAAAAGTGAATAACCTTGAATGTCCCACAGATCTGGGTCAGTACAAAATACAGGCCTAGTTTTTATACAGATTTTTCATCCATGTGATGAAGTTACTGTCTTCATCTGGAAATACTGTTTACATCCACAGGTCAAATAAACCAAACAACCAACCACACAAGTTACGTATGCCTACCATTTCCTCGTTTACAAATAAAGCTATTATGTATTTCTGGATTAACAGAGCATCTTCAAAGGGCTTAGGACCATGCAAGGCAGAATTCTCTGTTCAATCAACTTCTTTTAATGAAAGTTATGTCTTTTCCATGAAATAAGGAGAAAAAATTGTCATAAAGCACGTATACCTCTGTTATTGCAGTCATTTCATCACAGTGAACTCAAACTATTAATCTTAGCTTGCTATATAATGGATAAAAGCACACTTTGTGTTTACAGAAAAGTGTTACTGTTTTGTATATTCTCACTCATTTTGAGGTTTGGTATTTCAGCTTTACATAGTATACTAAATGTACAGCCACCTAGTTGAGTATTTTGCCTGACAGGGGTCAGTGGCAGATACCTAGGGAAGCGTACAGGAACAGACAACCATTAAGTATATTCCCTAGTGCACTCTCAATAACTAGCTAGAAAGCCTTTCTAATTTTCTTGTTTCTTGTGTTCTTTCAAATGTGCTCTATTCATCCTTCAAGCAATCTAGATGGTCCTGTTTCTTTCCTCTCTGTAAGAGAACTGTCACAAACCTGGGAAAGAGCACGCACAGCAATCTGAATTTTTATTTGTTTGCTTAGATCTCACACTCTGAACTTTTTGAGGTGTCCTGGTTTCAGCTGGAATAAAGCTCATTTTCTTCCTAGTAACTGGTCAAGTGCTGTTTCAGATTTATAATGTTGATAACACACTGATGTTTTTAGTTCTTGCTAAGCGGTGTTTATACTAAGTCAAGGACTTTCAGCTTCTCATACTGCCCCGCCAGCAGAGGCTGGAAGTGCACAAGAAGCTGGGAGCAGACACAGTCAGGACAGCTGACCCAAACTGGCCAAAGGAGTATTCCATACCATATGATATCATGTCCAGTATATAAGCTGGGGGGAGCTGACCAGTGGCACTGAGGCTTGGGGCTGGGATGGACATTGGTCAGTGGGTGGTGAGCAACTGTACTGCACATCACTCATTTTGTATATTCTATTATTATTACTTTCCCTTGTTTTTTCTGTCCTACTAAACTGCCTTTATCTCAGCCCACAAGGTTTTATTTTTTTCCTCTCAATTCTCTCCCCCTATCCCACTTTGGGCAAGAAGTGAGCGAGCAGCTGTGTGGTACTTAATTGCTAGCTAGGGATCAACCACAACAGGACATCAAGTAGCAGATAGGAAGACTTAAGGACATTTAAGCATTTACATGGTTGTACCCTCGGCTGACAGCAAGCAATACACATTCTTAACACTTAAGAACATTCAAGTATTCACACTGTACTTACATTCTGTGACAAAGAAGTTGAGCATGGTCAGGACAACAGTGTGGCCGCTGAACATGTAATCTCCACACGTATGTACTCCCGTGAGAGTCATTCCAAAGCCACTCCATATTGCAAATGCCCGTTGGAGTTTTGCCCAAACATTGCCATACAACTAAAAGACAGTGACAGGAACCTTCAGTGAGTTCTACATCCACTGCATGAACAGTATGTCCTTAAAGTTAGCTGTATAGTGCTATGTATGTTTAATATCATTTATCATGCTGGGTCTTTTATTAAAATGCAGTTCAGCACAGCTTTGGATTTTACTGGGGCACTGAGTCACATTAGTAACTACAATTACTAAATGTGTGCATCATACCTCTGACAAATACTGGAATTTAGAGTATTTTGTTGCAAGTGATTTACCTAGAGTCTGCCACCTTTTTTTGAATATATTCAATCTCCCAACATGCCACTGTCAAGCTTCCACTATATTCATCTCAGCATCTTCTAACTACAAGTTAGGATAAAACCATAAAATCCCATATTCTATGCAATTATCCCTTATTAGAAAAGGTGAAATAATAGTTTGGTTTTTCTTCCCCAAAACCATGCATCCAACAAGACAAATAAGTGATTACTCCACTTTCAGTCTTTCTTCATGAAGCCAGTATCTTAAGTGCACAGTTCTCTGATGTCTTCTCTCCAGTGTACATTGTGAAATATTCTGAACACCCTTCACCAAGCAATTATCTCCTCTCCAAAGTGACAAGTGCTTCTAAGACCCCTAAGGATCCTTGCCTGCATAATGGCAATTAATGAAGGTGCACAGAGGGGAACAGCTGAGAAACAACACTGTTCTCACAAATACACAACATTATGGTCACAAGAATCGTAATCATATCTTAAATAAAATGCAAAAAACAAAAACAAAACAAAAGGGAAAAAAAAA